AGTATGAAATGTGCAGGCACTTGACGACGATCCCGCGCCTACCCTCTCCCCACACGGCAAACCTCAGCCGGCCACAGGTCCTGCCGCAAGCACACCTGCTCGCTCCGGCCGCGCGCGCGTTAGCCACGCGTCGGAAGGCGGGGCCGCCGCCGCCGCCGCCGCCACCTTGTCCTCCGCCTCCCTCCGCGCCGCCGCCTCCTTCCGCCGCTGCTCCTCCGCCATCAGAGACGCGATCCCGCTCGGCGGCTTGGCCTTGCCAGCGCCGCCGCCGCCGCCGCCGCCGCCGCCGCCGCCGCCGCCGCCGCCGCCGCTGGTGCCCGCGCCGTCGTCCGCGCCGAAGAGAGACGCGCCTCCCGCCGCGAGTGGGGCGGCGAGCCTCGCCTTGCCCTTGGAGGGGCCGCCGCCGCCGCCGAGGGAGAGGGCAACCTTTTGGTCGGGGTCTGTGCGCTGCAGCTCGGTGGCGGAAGGGGCGAGGGCGCCGTCGCCGAGCGCCTCACGAGCCGCCTTCGCCTGCCGCATCAGGTCGCGCTCGTGCCTCTCCGACGAGTCGAGCTCGGTCCGCTCGCGCTTCGCTCGCTCCTCCAGCTTGCGCAGCTTCTCGGGGTCGCGGTCGACATACGTCACGAACCAGCCCTTCTCGGTCTCGTCGACCTCGCACTTGCCCTCGCGGCCGAGGTACATGATGAAGTCGGTCAGCGTCTCCCATATCGTCGAGTTCATGTGGAAGTGGTGCCGGTTCGCAATGTACTCGCGGTAGACGACGTTTGCGCTGCACCGCTGCGAGCGCGCCTTGCGGCCAATGATCTCCATCATCCCTTCCTCAAACTCGCGCGAGAATTCGTCCATGTACTTGCCCGAGTTCTCCGAGAACATCGCCATTTGCCGCTGGTGCGACTCCGACATGCAGTGGCACTTGAACCCGTTCTCGTCGCGGCACTGCTTGTTGCACATCTGGCAGTACCATCGCAGCTTCTGCAGCCCCTTCGCCTTGATGCGGTTGGCGATCGACTTGGGCGCGAGGAAGCCGCCATTCTTGTCCGCCTTGCCCATCTGGCGAGCCGGTGCCCGCGTGCAGTCGCGTGCAGTCCGAGCAGCGCCGCGGTGCGCACAACAGGGTGTGCGAAAAGAATTTTACCCCAACGACACTAGACGCGAAAAGAATTTGCCGCGGAACGCCAAAAAGAATTTTGGAATGCACTCCACGACACTAGGCACGGGAAATCCCTGTGTGGTAGCGGCGTGCCGTCCACCCATCCCTCCCTTGGGTGCCTGTTTTCTTTCTTTCTTACTAGGCAGCAGGACTGGCGTGCAACACTGCGAAAAGAATTTAGGAAATCTCCCTCGCACAACACGAGGCACGGGACTAGTGTTGTGTGCGCAAAGAAAGCAGAAAACCGGGGTGGCGGCGTGCCGTCCTCCCAGGCTCTCTGTTTTCTTTCTTTCTTTGTGTGCGTCTTTTCATTCTTTGAACGGAGTGACCAAGCACTGGAGAGAGAGGTGGGAGCAGATTGCCAGGAGAGGTCGAATCCGTTCGGGTCGAGCCTCCTCTCTACACAAGAAGCATCTTACCAAGAAGCTGGGTGTGCGCCTTCTCGCGCCGGCCCTGCTCCTCGCGCCTGCCTGCCGCCCGGTTCCTCTCTTCCCAAGAACGGTTCCTCTCTTACCAAGAAGCATGGGTGTGCGCCTTCTCGCGCCGGCCCTGCTCCTCGTGCTTGCCTGCCGCCCGGTTGCTGGCGGGCACTGTGGCGGAAATGGCGCAGACTGCTCCAAATGCGTGAGTGACAGCCGCGGCTCGCCTTGCTCCTTCTGCGACGG